CTCTTATCTTTATCAATATATATTGATAAAGAACAGTTTATAGTTAAAGATAAAAGTCATGTTACAATAATAGTCAAAAGTTGTCATATTTGTTACAATATATTATTTATAGTACATTAATTAAAAATAATGTTATTTACAAATATTATTCAACTTTAAAATGCATATAGAATAAATATGATTTTATTTTAATATTAATATTATCATGAAATTTATAGTCCAATACTTTTATTATAAAAATTATCAAATAAAACATGCGCAATTAAAGAACAGAATACAATTCTTTTAAAATTAGGTTAAAAAAAATTTAATTTGTTTAATAAATAAAAATTGCAGTTAGGAAAAATACATTAATTATTGAAACATAATTATTAACTTTCTAAAAGGACTGTATATTAAATATTGTATCTTTTGATATATTTATTTATGTAACAAATAATAAAATATAAATTAACATGTACTAAACATCCCTTATAGAAATATCATACTAAGAATCATCGATAATTACTTATTTTCAGTATTAAAAATACTAGATAATAAGTAATTATCAATGATTCTTAGTATGATATTTCTATAAGGGATGTACTGTTAAATATATTAAACCAAGTTAATATGTAATAAATATCTTCCATGTTTTCGGTATTACTTGGTTATGTGACTTTGTTCTGAGTTTCTCCCAACAGGAATACAACTTCGTAGAAAAGAATATGATATTAAATATACTAATGTTGGGACTAATGAGTTGGTACTAAGTTACACAAAACGACGACACAATCAAACTTAGCATTTTAGCTGTGTACGATTGTGCCGACTTGTGCCGTAGTTGGAAAGCACTGTATCTTACATTGTGTTACACAGTGTCGTCTGTATACGTAGCTGGAAAGCACCCAATATGTATCCAACCTCGACTACGAGCGCTGAAAAGTTATATTTTATGTTACGTATGTTATAGATTTTAAGCGCTGTAATTTTGTTTAAATTTTGCAGTAATTTTGAAACACAGCCCAAGTTTTGTTATTTATGATAAGTTGTCGAATTGGAGATCTGACTGAATAGTGATACTTAATGTACACATTTCAGAAAATTCCCTAGCTTATTTGGATTCTGGTAAAAGCTCTCTTAGGGCCTGAACACAAAGATTTTCGTAAACTTTTCCGATAGAGTCGTAAACGTAAGTCGGTGTCGGAAGTCAACGCACAAGGATTGACGTAAACGTATGTCCATTCCGGAAGCTATATCTTGCGACGACTTTTCTTATCGATAGTAACGGACAGTCGCCTGTCCGCTTCGTCGGCAAATTACCGCGGTCCCCGGATATCGTTACGAACCCACTAACTCAAGTTGGGCGCCAGGTGCGGTAAGGCCGCACTAATTATTACTCACTAATTATTATTCGCCAAAAATCTCTAAGGTATCGTCCGTCGTCGATATCGCGGAAACGGACGGGACCGGTAGCTCTCTTTTACTTTCAGTCGAAGTAGGGAGGGGTTTATTTATTATAGGTGGAAGCCGAGGAAAAGAATGCACTCGTACTTTCGGTAGAGATCTTTATTAGATCGGTATATGCACTTTCAGGGCGTTATTCACTATCTCGCACGCGTCGATACGTTCGCTAATTATTTTAATTCCGGTTCGGAGCTCTAGCATAGTTCTCGCGCGACCACTCGGTATGCGACAGCCTCGATACGATAAATGTACGACATTAACACGCCAACAAATGAGAGGCCTTACAAAGATCGGACTCCTTCTCGCCTCCACTCCAGGTCGGTCGCCTCGCCTATCGCTGTTCGTCTCCGCTCAACGACTGCAGCTCCATGGCGGACCCTGGCTCGCTCTGGATCGGAGGTCGGTCACTCGCGACGGAGATCTCCCACAAAATGAATTCGCTCTCGATACATCACGCCGGCGAGAATACGGCACCAAGACAACCGGTATCGTATCGGTCAGCTCCCAATGCGGTAATTTTGAAAGACCTCGAGAGCCACGGTAATCTTTAGAGAATCACGTTAACTCGCTAATTGATCGCGGGCAAGTCTCTCGATCACCCGTTGTTCTCGCTTTTTCTTTTCTCGGCGAGCCTTTCTCTCTCTCTCTCTCTCTCTCTCTCTCTCTCTCTCTCTCTCTCTCTCTCTCTC